CCTCTTCTCCAAGTGCTTTGAGATCACTGACAAGCACTTGAAACCTATGGAACATCTCCGACACATTCTCATATTCCTTCATCTTAAAACTTGTAAACTTCTTTTTGAGAATATATACCTTTGCACCCTTCACGGCTTGAGTGCCCTCAAATGACTACTCCAACTTCTTTCATGCCTCATGAGCCCTCTCAATGTTCTTGATTTTCTCAAATGTTCTCTCATCCAAAGCATCATGAATGGCACTAAGAGCAATGTCATTGTTTTGGAGTGGCATTTCTTCGGCGGCGGTGGGAGCCTCTTTATTGGCAATCTCAATCTTGGTCTCCACCACCTTCCACACCTTCCTATTGATTGACTTGATATATGTTGTCATCTTAGCATTTCAATAGGGATAGTTGGAGCCATCAAATTGGGGTGGCTTCTTGGTGTTGTTGATTTGAGCCATTTTGACACCGAAGGTTGTTAAGCCTCAAATCACGGTGACCACTGCTCCGATACTACTTGAAAGGTCCTAATGGCTAGAGAGAAGGTGAATAGCCTATAAAAATTTCTACAACAACACTAAGTAAAGTGGTTAGACAAGTATGAGGCGAAGCGAATGTTGCGCTAGCCTACTAAAAATGCAAACCACCTACCACAATTCTAGTATCTATAGTCTCTATCGACACAATGGCTATGTCACTACATTAAGTTAGTGAGCTCTCAAAGACTAACTAAAGAGCCTCACTTACCACAAGACTCGACGTAAGCAAGCTCTCAAAACTAGTTACACTAAAGAGCTTTGCTTACACACTAGAAAGATAAACGCACGAGAGAGGTTGGTGATGATTATACTGCCGTGTCGAGGAATTGAGCCAATCACAAGATAATCACATTCAATCACAATGAATACCAAGAAATCCTCATGACAAGATGACACAAGATTTTTTTTTCGAGGTTTACTTGCTTGCCGGCAAGCTAGTTCTCGTTGTGGCGATTCACTCACTTGGAGGTTCATGCGCTAATTGGCATCACACGCCAAACCCACAATCGGGTGCCGCACAACCAACACAAAATGGAGATCACACAAGCCACGAGCAATCCACTAGAGTACCTTTTAGCTCTCCGTCGGGGAAAGGTCAAGAACCCCTCACAATCATCACTATCGGAGCTGGAGACAATCACCAACCTCCGCTTGACGATCCTCGCTGCTCCAAGTCGTTTAGGTGGCGGCAACCACCAAGAGTAACAAACGAATCCCGCAACGAAACACGAACACCAAGTGCCTCTAGATGCAATCACTCCAGCAATGCACTTGGATTCTCTTTCAATCTCTCAAAGATGATGAATTAATGATGGAGATGAGTGGGCTAAGCTCACAAGTTTGCTATGTCAATGCAAATAGCCAAGAGAATGAGTTTGAGCCAGCCAAGGGGCTTAAATAGAGAACCCCCACGAATAGAGTGGACGGCATCCAGTGGGCTTAAATTGATGGCGCGCGCGAACGACAAGTGGCATGCCGGTGCGTCCGGTCGATCTCCAACGGCTAGTCTCGCCCGCGCCATCAGTTTAGTGACGACCGGACGCACCGGCATGCCACCTGTCGTTCGCGCGCTGCGTCAAGTCAACGCATTCCCGCGCGCTGCCAACAGCTGACCAGACGTGCCGATCAACTCGGCCTCCCAGCGTCAGGTCAGTTCCAGAGAGGTCCCCGAGTGCCAAAACATCGACTGGACGCGTTCGATTTCCCGTGATCGGACGCACACCAGCGTCAGGTCTTCACCGCGCTCGACAAGTCGCCCATGTCAGCATATGTCACCTGTGACCGGACGCAGGCCCTGCGCGTCCAGTCACTTTCACTGTGCTGCGTCCGGTCGCTGAACAGACCTAGCCCGAGCGCGCCAACACTTTTATAAATGACTGGACTCACCACCTCAGCGTCCTGTCACCTCGGGTTCAGCGTTCGGTCACTGATTTTCAGTGAAAAAACACGTCCTTCACTTCACCAACTTTTCCACCCTTACTCAAATGTACCAACCACCAAGTGTATCACCTTGTTTACGTGTGTTAGCATATTTTCACAAACATTTTCAAGGGTGTTAGCACTCCACTAGATCCTAAATGCATATGCAATGAGTTAGAGCATCTAGTGGTATTTTGATAACCGCATTTCGATACGAGTTTCACCCCTCTTAATAGTATAGCTATCGATTCTAAATGTGATCACACTCGCTAAGTGTCTTGATCACTAAACCAAAAAGCTCATATCAAGTTTCACCTTTGCCTTGAGCTTTTTGTTTCTTTTTCTTTTTTTCCAAGCCGAGCACTTGATCACCATGGTCACCACACCATCATCATAATCTTCACCATTGCTCCACCACTTGAAATAGGGCTACATATCTCATGATCACTTTGATAAACTAGGTTAGCACTTAGGGTTTCATCAATTCACCAAAACTAAACTAGAGCTTTCAACAGTTCATCAGAGATATGGGTCTAAAGTCATTTACATTTGTTGGATTGTTGACCTTGGGAATCAAAGTGATGAAGGAATTGTTGATGGCCTGAATGTTCTAATCGCCATTGAAGAAGTCAAAACACAAGCTGTAGACATCTTCCTTTATAATGTGCCAGCAGGATTTGATGAAGAGCCCATTAAAGCCATCAGGGCCAGGAGATTTGTGCTATCCATGTGTAGTATGTTGAAAAGTTCATGCATCTTTTCCTTTTATTTATTATGAACAAGGAGAGCTTATTTTGCTTAGCTACCCCGAATTACAGATTTGAAATGCTTGAAGTTCTGGGTGTTCTTAGGACCTCCTGGTGATCGGTAAAATTAACCTTCTCGAATAATTCAACTTGCATTTAATTACATTCCTAGCAGATGAAATATAAAGCCCTAAAGTGAAAATTTTGCGATTTAAAAACTACATATTCATTATTATCTAAGGTTTTTAAAAAAAACTCGACCACTGGGGGAGAAGATTCTCTTCCGCAGGCTTGAAAAAAGGCCACAAACCTGGCTATCCATGTGCTATGCAGCCACGTGTCATGCTGCAATCGTTAGTGGACCCACACTTTTTTTTCTCAAACAACTCAGGAGAGTTGTGTGTCATTTCATTAAAAAAGGGGAAAACTTTACAAAACGGGATGCCTAGAAAAAACCTTCCCAACTCACACTACATACTGCAAAAAAAAAGAAAAGAATAAAAAGCCCGACCATAACCAATTTGCCATACTAGGCCACTAAGGGCTTGGAGCAAACAACCTCAGAATAAGCTCCTGAAGTGCAGAAGCACTGGAACAAAATTATATGCGACGGTGCCACATATATCAGGCCGTGTGACACTGTCTAGATTACCTACACGTACTCACTTCAAGAAATCTGTACCCTTGTGATAATAGCTGGGCCCATAGAGATGAAGCTAATCCCACCGTTCCACGGAGCTGAGAGCCGGTGTTGCACAGCATGCTAAAATGCGACACCGTCGCATACGAGCTTTTTCCAGAAGCACTGGCCAAACACCACACATGGCATTCCTCTTCTACCATTTGAAGAACAAACTGGACATTCGGAGAAATTCCTTCATAAACAGCAGGATTCCTGTGCTTCCAAAGTTCCCAGGCAACAAGAATAACTACAGAACTGAATCCCTTGCGCATTTCCTTGTCTGGCACCACCATCCCTGGAAACAGCATGTAGAGGTCGGAGGCACCACTGCAGCTAGGTTTAATTCCTGAGAACCAAAGTCCAAACCTCCCTGGCAAAACACACAAGAAACTAGAATATGTTGAATGGTTTCATCAGCCTGATCACAGAGAGGGCAGGCTGGCGGGTGAGGCAGTCCACGTTTGGCAAGCCGATCTGAGGTCCAACGCCTATTGTTGGTAGCAAGCCAAATAAATAACTTGGACTTCATAGGAGCCCAACTTTTCCAAATTCGTTTCCAAGGGGCAAACCTGATGGTTCCTAGAAAGTAAGCATCATAGGCTGACTGCTGCTGTAAGAACCTGTAGAGGTCAGTTTCCATCGATGTTGGTCATGGGTATCCTGCTGTATGGCAATTCCATTCACTAACTCTCAGATGTGCAAGTATTCCACCAGCACCTGTACAGTTAAAGCTCCCCTTATGTCTGCAACCCAACTTCGATTGTTTAATGCCTGGCTCACTGTACGCCTTTTCATAATTCTTTTAGGGATCTTGCTAAAGAGGTTTGGGGCCAATTCAGCCACTGTTTTTCCATGCAGCCATCGGTCACACCAGAATATAGTTGATTCCCCACTGCAGATGATGGTTTCTACTGCCACACTAAATGAGCAAGGGCCTGCCTAGGCACATGGACAGGCAGCCTAGCCCAAGGAAGAGAGGCATCTATTTTTTGTAGCCATAACCAATGGATGTGTATCCTAAAATTTCGAGGTTATGAATTCAGAGGCCACCATAATGAAGAGGACATCGCACTCATGTCCAGAAGACTAGAAAGTTCCCACCGGTGGTCTTCTCTTCACCTTTCTAGAGAAAACCTCTTCTTCTTTTGTCTATTTCCTTGATAACCCATTTGGGCAGGTCCATGTCAATCATCAGGTAGATGGGGACCATGATCAAATGACTGGCTTTGTTCATGAGAGGGGCCTTCCAACCAGGGAGATTGTCAGCAACTTTCTCTACCAACGGTAGCAGATATTCCTTGGTCGGCTTGTTGATTGTGAGTGGGAGGCCTAAGTAAGTGCAAGGAAAACTGAAAATAGCACAGGAGTGGCTTTTTTTGTGAGAATGGGGAGTTGAACTCCCAACCTGTTGGTTTGCACATCTGCTTCCCGGCCCCACCAATACATCTTTTTAATTGTTATGGGGTCATTTTTGTTCAAAGTTGCTCGACAACCTGACATATTTTTATGGCCCCACCAATACATATTTTTATGGCAACCAAGTACCATGAAACTTTGATTTCATAAAATTTATGGCATATTTTTAATATCTTGTCTTATTTTTTAAACATGAATTATTTAACTGTTTCAGATTGGTATTGTAACTTTCTTCGTGAGTTCGATCCTCGACAACCTGACTTCCACTATTGTGATGGTGTCTTTGCTTCGGAAACTAGTACCTCCATCAGAATACAGAAAGTATGTTTTCTGTTAACTCACCTGTCATGTCTACACATTATTTAGTACTTATTTTCTTGACTATTTCGTCATTTTACTCATAATGATCTCATCCTAGCACCACTATACATGTGTTCATTATACGCTTGCTCTGTACACAGGAATAGCTCCTAGGATCAATATAGTGTGTAGCATCTTTCTCTATTATATAGTCATTGATACTGATAAATGGACTTAGAAGTATCAAAATTATTGCAGAATTTATCCTGTAGCAGCTTAGTAGATTGTTGAATGGACCATTGTTCAACCTAGCAATGTTTACTCTGTGCCCTTAAAATGGCAGCATGAGTGCGTGCGTGTGTGCGTGCGTGTGTGTATGGTGTTTGTGGGGTTGTTTGGGATCTTGCCCTTTTCTCTCTTAATATAATGATGCGCAGCTCTCCTGCGTTTTCGAGAAAAAAAAAATGGCAGCATGACATCCTGTGCTCCTGCTGTGATCCTCACTAAGTCAGGGTCTGAAATTTTTTGAGCATAAACTAGTTAGAAGAAAAGTAATGACTACTAGTCATATTGAACTTCTCATTTCAATTTATTTCAGAGGTTAGCAGGTCAGTCCATTAGTACCTTCACAATTTGTTTGGGGATTTCATTTGGAGAAAAAATTCTTAGATACCATAAAATTAACAATTGAATGCCACTAAAATGTTCTCAACAAGTTCCTGCTGTTGTATAGAATTGTTGCCATCTCTGTTGGCTCTTGTTGCCTTTAACATTGCATAGCTTCAACTTACTTTTAGATGCATAGCACATGGGTAACTGCAACGTGTTTTTGGATGCTGTAACAATGGCCTAATAGCCTGTAGCATTGGCCCAGTAGCTGGCTTGGTCTGTGTATCTGTAGTTGCCTTTGGATATCAAGGTAGATTAGTTAAAGATGTTAGCTAAGATTGTTCGGTCAGGCTCTTAAATAAAGGAGGTCAAGTCAACCAAGTTTACCCTACCACCTAAATTTCAGCATGATCAGAACCTCCTGCTGCAGGGACAAGACGTGTTGGTGATAAGGACAATCCATTCTATTATCTTCCACCTCCAGATTTTACCACTCTACCCCCATGGATTTCCCATTGATCAAATGCCAGGATACAGGTGGCTATGAGCTTCCAGCATGGCTTACTTTACAAGGGTGTATGAATGCATATCTCAGGTGGCAGCGAGAGTAAAGGCACACAACTAGAACTCTCTGAGTATTAGAGTATTTATTTCCTACCTGTATCCTCTATCAATTACTCGGTATCGGCTGCCTCTTGGGTTTCTACCCAGTGTGCTGCCTAGGGACTCCCGGCATGTTGCCTGGGACTTCCCCCCTCTTAACTCTCTAGCTTAGCCTCTCTCTATATATATGTAACCCTCTTGTAATCTCATCATCAAGTAATCTAAGCCTCTTGGCCTTCCTCTATCATGGTATCAGACTAACGATTCCTCTGCTTCGCTATTATTCTCGGCACGCCTCGAGCGCCGCGCCCTTCTTCTCTCGCCTGCGCGCCTCGGGTCGCGCCACCACATGCGCCCGAGTCCGCCAGCAACCGCGACCCTTCCCTGGCCGGCAGCGCTTGAGAGCTGCCCACGACGCTGGTGCCGCCCACCAGCGCCCATGGCCACGCCGACCTCCGGCGCCTCCACCACGGCTATCATGATCAAGCTTCGCGATGAAGCTCTCGCCGCCGCCAGAAAGTTGGAGGAGGAGGCCGCCTCTGCACTCCACCAACATCGACCGCGGCAAGCGGCTTCCAGACGGAGGCTGACCTCCTCAAGTCTGCTGCTGCCGCTCAGGATCGCGTTCGTGCCGCCGTTGACGCCCTCGAGAAGGAGCGCGCGCAGGCCGACGCCCTGGAACAGCAGGCCGCTGCCCTCCGGGACCGTATCCGCACGGACTCCCTCCACGGCAGCGACTCTCTCGGTATGGGCGATCACTCCTTCTCCTCCGATGCGCGACCATCGCATTCATCACGCACTGACAGCCAGCCGCCCGTCCGAACATCAAGAACTTGATTCCGATCGTTCTGGACCTCCAGTCCTCCAACTACTCCAGGTGGCGCGGCTACGTCCTCCTCATCCTCGGCCGCTTCGCGTTGAAGGACCACGTCCTCAGTGACGCCTCCCGCTTCACCGATCCAGCGTGGTCCCGCATGGACTGCGTGGTCGTCTCCTAGATCTTCAACACCATCTCCACCGACCTTCTGGACGTCATCCACGAGCATGACGGCATCTCCGCTCGGGCAGCGTGGCTCGGCATTGAACAGCAGTTCCTGAACAATCGCGAGTCACGCGCCATGCTCTCGACGCCGAGTTCGCGCACCCTCCTGTGGCGCCTCTCCATCGGCGACTATCGCGCAGAAGATGAAGGGCATGGCTGATGCCCTTGCCGATCTTGGCGAGCCCGTCCATGACCGTACTCTGGTGCTGAACATACTGCGAGGCCTCAATGAGCGCTTCCAGTTCATGTCGCAGTTCATCATGCGCCAGAAGCCGTTTCCCTCCTTTGCGGACGTCCGCGCCGACCTGCGCCTGGCCGAGCTCAACATGGCACCTCCATCGGCTCTCGTCGTCTCTTCGTCAAAGAAGCCACCGCATCCCACCGGCCTGCAGGTACGCAACCCCGCGTCCTCAGCGAGCGCCGGGGGGCTCGTCGGTAGTGGCCGTGTGGCGGCGTCGTCGTGGTGGCGGCCGTGGCCAAGGCGGCTCGAACAGTGGCTCACCAGGTGGTTCCCAGTGGCCCTCCCTCCTCAACCCGTGGACCAGGTCCATCCACATGTGGCCCGGGTCCACTCCCGGTGGCCCTCGTGGTCCACCTCCCCGCACCGGCCCGCCTCCGTCGCAGCAGCTGCAGTAGCACGCTCTGGTGGCCGGCGTGCCTCCAACCTACTACCCTTCGGCTCCTGGGACATACCACCAGGTGCCCACCCAGGCGTCTCATCCTGCCTGGACGCCAGCACCACCTCCGACGCCTCCTGCTTGGTCACCGTGGGATCCCCAGTCCCTCGCCAACGCCTTCAGCACCGTCACCCTCACCCCGCCACCGACCTCCTCGGACTGGGTGATTGACTCGGGTGCTTTGTCTCACATTGCCTCCAACCCTGGTATGGTTACCGTATCTCCATCCTCTCTTTTCCTTCCTCCATTGTTGTGGGAAATGGCGCCACTCTCCCGGTTGTTGGCACCGGATACTCCACTCTTCCTGACCCTTTCCGTCTCAACAATGTCCTTATAGCTCCTGACATCATTAAAAATCTTCTTTTTGTTCGCCAGTTCACTACTGATAACTTTGTTTCTGTGGAGTTTGACCCTCTTGGTGTCTTTGTGAAGGATCTCCGTACCAGGAACACCCTCCTTCGATGTAACAGCTCAGGGCCGCTCTACACCTTGCAGCTCCCGTCGTCGCCTTCTGACCCTTGTGCTCTTGTGGCCACTCCTTCAACTACCTGGCATTGTCGTCTCGGCCACCCCGGCAGGGCTGCCCTTCAGAGTCTCGCCCAGTCATCTTCCATTTTCTGCAGCAAGTCTACAAATGACTCCATCTGCCATGTCTGTCAGCTTGGGCGCCATGTTCGCTTGCCTTTTACTAGTTCATTGTCTAGAGCACCTAAAAATTTCGATCTGATATATTGTGACCTGTGGACATCCCCTATTGTCAGTGTATCCGGATTTAAATATTATCTCGTTATTCTCGATGATTGCTCTCATTTTCTTTGGACTTTTCCTCTTCGATTAAAGTCCGACACTTTCACTGTCCTCTCCAATTTCTTCGCCTCTGTGCACACTCAGTTTGGTTGTACCATCAAATCCGTGCAATGTGACAACGGTCGTGAGTTTGACAACTCTGTGTCTCGTGCTTTCTTTCTTGCCAAAGGTGTTTCTCTTCGCATGTCATGCCCCTACACCTCGCAGCAAAATGGCAAAGCCAAACGCATGCTTCGCACCACCAACAATGTCACCCGCACCCTGCTCTTCCAAGCATCCATGCCCACCTCCTACTGGGCCGATGCACTTGCTACTGCCACCCACCTCATAAATCGCCTCCCCACCAAAACGCTGAACATGAGCACTCCCTTCTTCGCACTCTATAGCACTCACCCTTCCTATCATGACCTTCGGGCTTTCGGGTGCACCTGCTCCCCTAATCTCACCGCTACCACTCCTCACAAACTTGCCCCGCGCTCTTCTTTATGCGTTTTCATTGGCTACTCTCCCGATCACAAGGGTTACAGGTGCCTCGACCTTGCCACAAACCGTGTCATCATCTCTCGCCACGTTGTTTTCGACGAAACAACGTTCCCTTTCTCACTTCGCCGGCCCTCACCGCCTACACACGAACTGGATTTTCTAACTGATGACGACCCTCCGTCAGTCCCTTTTCTCCCTGCAGGTACACCTGGCGTCGCTGCCACCCTGCCAGCACCTGCACCTCTGCGGCCCCCCCCAGCCGGTGTCTTCAGTCACCCCGGCGTCGGGACCAGGCACGCCAGTGTCCCGGTCTCCTCCGCCCAGCTTCACCGCGCCCATGGCTCCCCCCTCCCGCGGCGCCCGTGAATAGCGCCCACGGCGCGCTTCAGACAAAGCGCCCGGCTAACTCCTTCAAGAAGCCGCCCGTCGTCCACACGCTTCACACCGGCGTGCCCCGCACCCTGACTCGCCACCTCCACGCCCCCGGGGGGGGCTCCTCCTCGACGCTCCGGCATGATTCCCTCTCCACCGCGCTACGTCAAGAGTGGTCCTCCACTGCCAACAGGAGCGGTCTCCATCCCGCCACTTGCCAACTCTCATGGCATGGCAACCCGCGGGAAGTCCGGATACAAGCAGCCTCGCCTTGCTCTACACACCGAGGCTCTGTCCCCACTGCCGTGGTCCTGTCGTGACGCTCTTGCTAATCCGCACTGGCGTCGGGCCATGGAAGAAGAATTTGCTGCTCTCTTGGACAACCACACTTGGGATCTCGTTCCTCGGCCTGCCAAGGCAAATGTGGTCACCGGAAAATGGATCTTCAAACACAAGTTTCATGATGATGGCTCCTTGGATAGATACAAGGCTCGTTGGGTGCTTCGTGGGTTCACACAGCGCTCCAGAGTTGATTACGATGAGACTTTCAGTCTCGTCGTCAAGCCCGCTACCGTTCGCACCGTCCTCCTCACTGGCTCACTCTCGGATCGGCCGATCCATCAACTTGATGTGAAGAACGCTTTCCTTCACGGGACATTGTCGTAAAGCGTGTAATCGCTTCTCTCCCCACTTGGTTTTGCCGATCCGGCTCTTCCCAACACGCTCGCAGCTCAACAAGTCCTCTACGGTTTGAAGCGAGCACCGCATGAGCATGGTATGGCGGTTGGGTTTGCTTCTTATCTCGCTATCTCGGGTTTCACTGAAGCCAAGTCCGATGACTCCTTTTCATCTATCACCGTGGCACCGAGAGCAGTCTACTTGCTCCTATATGTGGATGATATTGTTGTTACTGACCTCCTCTCACCGCTCTTATCTTTGGGTGATTGATGGTGAAGAAGGAATTTGCCATGAAGGATCTTGGTTCCCTACACCATTTTCTTGGCGTGGCGGCGATTCAAATGACGAAGGACACTATTTCTCTCTGGCGTCGATTACACTCTGGACATTCTTGCTCGCCATGGCATGACCGATCGCAAGCCTTGTTCCACTCCTGCTGACACTTGTGCCAAAGTCTCTGCGATGCCGGCCCCTCCGTTGATGATGATACAAAGATATCGCGCGACCTTGTGGGTGCTCTCGAAGACCTAACTTTCACCCGGCCCGACATCGCGACGCCGTTCAACAAGTCTACCGCACATGCATGATCCCCGGAAGTTCATCTTGTTGTCGCTAAGCGGATTCTTCGCTACCTTGTGGCACTATCGGCTTTGGTCTTGTCATTCCTCGCTCGCTTCGACTCACTCATCGTCTACACCGACGCCGACCGGGCTGGCTGCCCCGACACCCGCCGTTCCACCTCCGGCTATCTTTGTCTTCCTCGGTGGCGCCTCATCTCCTGGTTGTCCAAGCGCCACCTTTCGTTTCACTGATCGGCGCCGAGGGCGAATACTGCAGTAGCGATTGCCAGCGGCGTCGCCGAAGCCTCTCGGCTACGACAACTTCTGCAGGAGTTGCATCACCTCCGGATTCTCGCGCGCCTCGTCTCATCGCGACAACGTCGCCGCCGTCTACCTCTCCACCAACCCGTTCAAAGACATCGCGTACCAAGCACGTGGAAATCGACCTTCACGCCGTCCCAGAACGGGTCGCCCTTGGGGCTGTCCGTGTGCTTCACGTTCCCACCGTCACAGTTTCGCGATGTCTTCACCAGGGCCTTCCTTCTTCTGCTTTTTATGGATTTTCGCTCCGATCGAACGTTCGTTCTAATGACGTTCTGACCGGGGGTGTTAGAGAGTATTTATTTCCTACCTGTATCCTCTATCAATTACTCTGTATCAGCTGCCTCTTGGGTTTCTACCCAGTGTGCTGCCTAGGGACTCCCGGCATGTTGCCTGGGACTTCCCCCCTATTAACTCTCTAGCTTAGCCTCTCTCTATATATATATATGTAACCCTCTTGTAATCTCATCATCAAGTAATCTAAGCCTCTTGGCCTTCCTCTATCACTGAGTAACAATTTTTTTAAATCTTCCCTGTGCATCCACAATGCTTGGTGGCATATACAGGGTCCTGCTATAGTTGTAACTCTTTAAGACACTAGATCAAAAAACAGGTCTTTTGCATTGCACTTAACACCAAACTCATGGGAGGATGACCAATAAAAAGGAGGGTATGATTTGAAAATAATGCAACCTAACTTGATGCCCTTTTTGGTGGTGGCTTGGGGGTTGAGGGGACACTATGTGGCAAATAAGGAGTTTTGACTTATTCTTTTCGTGTTGGGGCAAGGCCAAAGATTGTGTTTTGTGTACTTTCACCATTTAGTGCTAGTCTTTTCTTCTAAAGCTTATTAGGATAATGGCATTAGAGATGGAACAGCATTTAAGTTAGGTTCGTTCCATCACATGCCAGTCCATTGGTCTAAAGAACATTTTGTTCTCGAAATCCAACAATAAATAGTTGGTGGAATGTTATTTACTAGCATCTTGGGTGAGTTAAACATTGACTTATTGGGACAGATTGTCAGGTACTGTTGTTGTAATAGCAGTCTAAAGAACATTTTGTTCTCCAAATTCAACAATAAATAGTTTGGTGGAATGTTCTTTACAATCTTGGGGGAGTTAAACATTGATTTATTGGGACAGATTGTTAGGTGCTGTTGTTGTAATAGCAGCAAATGCTGGCGGTGCATGGACACCAATTGGTGATGTGACAACCACTATGTTGTGGATTCATGGTCAGATTACAACATTGAAAATAATGCAGGTTAGCTTTTGTAATTTTTGCTTGTTTTCCACAATATGCTTATGCAAATATTTCCTTGTGTCTTGTGCTCTCTGAATTGTTTTGAAAATTTTAATTAACTTTTCATGTTATGTTGTTCTTGTCCTTAGTTGGTAATGAAATGTAGCAATCTAGATTTTCGTACTCATATCTGTTATTAATTCAAAATATTGGCTGTCTTTTTCTGTATGGAAGTTATACAATTCAGTAAATTTACTTGAAGGAGAAGTGCAAAAAATATCTAAACATGTCAGATTTAAATTTTAATAAAGGATAATGTTACATTTTCTATTTCTCTTTTATCAGAAATGCTCTATTCATACATGTTTTACCGAGTACACACAGAGATTTATGTGTTCTATGGTGCAAACATCATGAGTCTGGATTAAATCATGTTTTACCGAGTACACACGTAGAGATGTATGTGTTCTACGTTGCAAACATCATGAGTCTGGATTAAATCAATATACTTGACTTTAGATGGCGCGGAGTCTATATTTTCTGTAATATATCTTATAAAAAAAAGGGCGAACCCAGTGCTCCTGCTCTGTGCGGGGTCTGGGGAAGGGTGTTAGTATCTTATAATAACTAGAAAATTATTTAACAGGATGGCCTCCACAAAGCAAATGCATGCTGTCACTATATTAGAGATTCTATTTGTTTTTATGATATTGTCAAGGCTCTACTTTCTTGCCCTAACTAATGAAATGGTATGCTAAACGGTATATGAAATGTTAAGACAAAATGTTTAGTGACTAAGAATGTTCATTTTATCTCTAATCTGCATTACTGATACATTGTTTTGTGGAAAGACCCATCTATCGCCCTGTTGCCCCCCATTCCTTTTGGACTGGTCAGCGTAAGGTCCTAGAAGAACATATTGTGGACTTTTGTAGCTTTATGGAAGGCCTAGCTACAATTGCATTACATGTGCAATGCAGAATGCATGTATTCATTATGACATCCTTTGGTGGGTCTGTATGCTTGGCGACTCAAGTTTGAATGCTTGGCGACTCAAGTTTGAAAAAGTCAGTAAGCATTTGCACCATGTAAAATATGGTAGGCATTTCTGGTCTCATTCATGGAGCATGCACCATGTGGTTAATCATACATAAGGCTTATTTTTATTATGTCTGATCTTATATGGAAGCTAATTGATGTATACCTTTTTATGATATGGTTTCCAGTTTTCCACTTTCGCTCTGTAGTCAAGTGAGATAGAACTTGGCCTAGTATTGTGTGTTGGAATATAAGTGAATTGCCCACCTCTCCCCATCAGCTTAACCTTTTGGGTTGAATTGATCGGTGCATGCAACTCAATATGGTATCAGAACCAGAGGTCTTGAGTTCAAATCCTGGTTAGCGCAATTAAATAAAATAATTGCAGCTCGCTCCTATTTCCACGTCTGAGGCCTGAGGGAGCCTCCACGTGAGGGGGGAGTGTTGGAATATAAGTGAATGGCCCACCTCTCTCCATCAGCTTAAGCTTTTGGGTTGAATTGGTCGGTGCATGCAACTCAATATTGTGGAGTTTTGTGGTTTATTTTATGCATGCCAGCAAAATGCTATGTCATTTTTTTTTAAATGGACTACTTTATGATCTGGCAGGGCTTGTTTATTCCCTCAGCTGTTTCGTTGGCAGTCCCACTGGCTCTGATGTCCCTCACCAGGTTCTTAACCAGTGACAACTATGCTATACAAAATGAAACAGTTAACAGTGTCTCATCTAACAATTTTTATACATTGCGAACAGTGAAGCAAATGGGTCGTCTCAGAAATCTTCCGACTTGCTGTCATCAGAGCAGATGGCTCCTCGGGGACAACTTGTATTAGGTGTTGGAGTTGGAGCATTAGTGTTTGTTCCCATCTTTAAAGCTCTCACTGGCCTGCCACCTTTCATGGGTATGCTACTTGGTCTTGGGATTCTCTGGATCCTGACAGATGCAATACATTATGGAGACTCTGAAAGGCAGCGGCTGAAAGTTCCACAAGCACTATCACGGATTGATACACAGGGAATTTTATTCTTCTTAGGTATTCTTTTATCAATTGGCAGGTAATTCTTCTCCTCTCCCTTCTTTTACTAGAATATTTCAGAAACGCAAATGCGCCACTGAGAATTGTATATGATTGGTATACAATATTGTTAATAATGAATGAACAAAACATTTCAGTCAGACATTTATTTTTACTTCTTGTACTAGATATAAGTATATTTGCAAAACAACTTTTTTCCCTCAAATATGCAGATCTGCATGTCATTGCATTAAGTGAGTGGCTGAAATAGCCAGGTACAACGACCAAACATGACCTTACACAATCTCACCAACAACGATCAAGTCATCAAGCAATGACATTCTGCGGACCAAACAAATAACCAAGCTTGCCTAACACGACCAAACACCCATACGACTGACACAAAACCTCAAAGGAGAACCAACACGACCTAAATAAAAGAAAACAGTCACCTCCAACCGTTCACAATCCAGTGCGGCGTCACAAGCCACAACCCTTAGCAGGCATAGGCAGGGGCGGTACTGATGGCATACTAGCTTCAAGGATCATTGGATCCCACCTCTCCATCATGTGCCCGTCGACCATAGGATTCAACTCTTGATTGTTGACAGCCTTAAGGTGTGTCCACAGATCCTTCATGCTCCTGACTGGTGCCACCAAGGAAGACACATGACTTGGAGCCTCCTCAAGGTGGACCACAATTCGGCGCACTTGTACCAACAATAATGTAGAATTTGAGTCAGTAACTATGGCGGTTACAGCGCCCAAGAGAGCACCCTTGCAATCCTCCATCACCCTGGAGTACAACTTATAGCCCATTAATCATTGTCATAATTGAGATGGGTCATATGCTTTTGATTAAGATGCATCTTAATTGGGGCAAAATAGGACAGAGAATGAAAAGTCCTCTTGGCTTGTGGACTTATCTTTGTAAAGAAGGAAGCTTAAACATATATTTGGAATGTAGTAGTTTCTTGTTTTATTTGAGGGAACAACAAAGTTTGTGATAGCTGCCAATGATTTTGTCATGTTCAGGGTTATTGTAGCTACAAGTCTGTCTACTGCAGTGGCACGGTTACTGTTGAATGCTAGCAACCACACAGCAGATTGTAGAACTACAACTACAAGCATGGCTAGATTATTAGGATCTGTTGGAGCATGGCTTAAAAATGAAATTAGTTTGGATACGATATTTCATTGAGATTCATTCTAGCTCTTAGATTGGGTGCTTCTCAAGTCAAACTGGTGAACTTTATTTAGAAAGAGAGCCAGGGGCTGACTTGTTTTTGGTAAGCAAAAGTTTCATCATCTTTAACTATATATAGTCTTTCTCTTCCTGCAGCCATGTGCATCTTCTCTAAGCCCTTTTTTCAACGGGACTCTTCTCTAAGCCCTGTTCTACCTTCAAGCTCTCACTATTACATTCCTACACCATTTCCCTCTAATCCTCTATTTTACATGACTTATGTGTCCTGGGTGTGTTCAGCTCTGCTGGGCTTGCTGTATTTGTTCATCTCTTTTCATAATATAATGACGTGCAGCTCTCCTGCTGGTTCAAGAAAAAAAAAACATGATTTACTGTGCTCTTCCTGGCGTGGTAGTTCAGTTAAAGGATGCCATGGGGAACAGCTTCCCCAGAACTAGTACAAGGGATATGACATGTAAAGAGGAACAAAATATTTGCATGTCCGAGTTTTGCAGTATATGGAGAGAAGCTCATAGAATCTAGTTTTCTTTGTAGCTTCGGTCGGGTCGTGTTAATTTTTTGGCTCAAGTTTTCCATCTTTATTTTGTTGCTCAAACCACCTCTCGTATTTGGTCCCCGTATGAGATAAGTGGGATGTATGGGGACCATTTTCTTCTCTAATACAATGAAGCGCAACTCCTGCGTTTTCAAAAAAAAAAGAGAGAAGCCTTTTCTTTTGTTGCACTATTTTTCTACCCTAAATGTCAGTGATGGCCAAGATTCTGTTTGCGATATGGTATTGAATAATTGTTTTCTATGTAATATACATTTATATTTATAAACTGGTACACCTTTGTGACGTTAGTGTGACGAGAAAACACATGTCCTGTTATCTGCAGTCCAGTCCATTACCAATAAGATGTTCATTTCCTAATAGTTTTTCTCTCTTTTGGCACTAGCTTGGAATCTGCAGGGATTTTGAGGCAGTTAGCAAATTATCTTGATGCCAATATTCCAAATGCTGATCTTATTGCTAGTGCAATTGGTGTGGCATCAGCAATTATAGACAATGTTCCACTTGTTGCTGCAACCATGGGGATGTATGACCTGACTTCATTCCCTCAAGACTCGGACTTCTGGCAGCTTGTTGCATTCTGTGCGGGTACTGGTGGTTCAATGCTTATCATTGGCTCCGCAGCAGGCGTTGCTTTTATGGGAATGGAGAAGGTGGATTTCTTTTGGTATTTTCGCAAGGTAAACTGCTCCGTTGTCCCAATATGAAGAGAAACTATCAAAAAAGATATATTACAGCAATGTGAAGTTCTTTATTATGGTATCAGTCATGTGCATTTAACTGCATTTCCATATATTTCCCAGACAAACTGTTGAATTTAATCTGTATATGCTGATTTTCTCTCTTTTAGAAGTCTAGTGTTGTGAATAGATCACACACCCACACACGAAACACTCGGTAGAACTAAAACTCACGCGCCTAACAAAACTTTAAATACCAGCCGGAACTAAAACTCACGTGCCTAAACCCTCTAACCCCCTTTTTCTCTTCTTAATATAATGATACGCAGCTCTCCTGCGTGTTCGAGAAATGTGAATACAATTTTTGTTTCAGACTGCACCTACCTTAGTTGATCATTGCAGTTGTTTGTGTAAATATTGTTCAGTTTAGTATCATTGATTTTTTCCCCTCTATTTTCTTGTTACTGTGCTGCTACTTATGGTTTGTCTACCTTTTGCAAGCATGGCGACATAAATTAAAAATTTCAAGTGAAAAATGCTTTAGCAAATCTAGGCTGACCTACAGTTTGAACGGTAACTATACGAATATATCTTGCTTCCTGCTGCTACTTATGGTTTGTCTACCTTGTTCCATAAATATTCATTCTTATTCTTAGGGACACTATTCGTGAATTACTTTTCGTTTCATTTCATTCTTGAATTATTTTTCCTGGTGGTTCTCACCCATGTTCAAGTAATCAGTTTGAGGCTTGTATTCTGGTATTCTGGGCACCTATGTTTTTTTTCTCGGAATGTGATGTTGATGATACATCAATTGGTAACTTACAACTTCAGTGTCACGCAAGCACATCTCAGGATACCAAATCCTATTAGCATCAGTAAAATAATATAAATCCTGGTAGCATGTTCCTTTATGTATTTTTCTGCAATAGCAACTGTAGGCAATTCAGAAATCCAGCCTGCAGTATGCACATTTATCCTAGTTCAAGTGTCACTCCATGTTGTTCATCTTGCCATGTTTCTTGTGTTTGCAGGTGAGCGGTTTTGCCCTTGCAGGTTATGCAGCTGGTATAATCTCTTACCTAGCTGCTCAAAATCTCCATCTATCCCTTCCCAGTTCGCTGGCTGAGATCCCTTTTATTTCGGGATCATAAAAGGTTGGCCTTTGTAGTCTTGTAAGAATGACCACACTCTAGATATGGAGGTGAACCAAGCATCATTATTGTTTTCCATATCTTATGTAAGGTCCAGTGTGTTGGCATATAGAGTATTCAGAACTTGGGGAATAAGTAAGACAGCCCTGAGCTTCAAGGCCCGACATCAGGTTTGGACGGGCTTATCTCGAGTGCTGGTGAACTTCTTTAGGCTAGGGTTTAGGATGCTGTGAGAAAGACTGCACTGTTTACTAGGACTGTACTTTCGAACCAAGGATATGCCAGTCTGGATATTTGTGAACCTACTCCGCAAAAATAGGAGCAACTTAGAAATGTGCAATTATGTAAGAAACAACCTTGGTTTTATTTTATACTAAAAGTATGTAATAAGATCCAGAAATCTGGTATAACTGCTGTCTGGTAATTTCGTTGATGCTCTTGTTAGGCAGCTGCATAGTTCAAATCACATATTCTAAATTGCAACAGGACATTGATGACTTTCGTTTCTGAACAAACGGCATGGTGTTATCCATCATTTGAGAGTCAAACATAATGGATAAGTAATACTTCCTCTGTTCCAAATTATAAGTTGTTTTTGACCTTTTTGGTACATCTAGATGCAAAAAAAAAGTTAAAGCGAATTATAATTTGGAAAGGAGGGAGTAGATAGGATGAAATATTTGTCCTCGTGCAAAGTAGGGGCTGAGTCTTGCATCTGACCTAGACACCTGGTTGAACAAGTGGCAACACGAGCTTACAGTGTTCCTGAACCTCGATGGCATTTTGGCTGACCTAGCTGAAGAGGTCGCCATCCTAATCCTGTTTGCAGTCTGCCACTGTTAATAGAATGGCCTATATCTTTTATGTGTCTGTTAACAAACACGTAAGGAAAATTATTTCTTACTCCAAGGGAATAGTTACTCCCATGTATATATCTCTAGATTTAGGGTGTATATGGGCCGATGAAGTATATGTAGCCGAAGTATATGATCATACTAGACCATCTAGAGTAGTATGTATATCAAGTATGCAAGTATACAGAGAGTATATGGTTATACTTATTTTATATACTACTATAGTGGCATTTTAGTAATATATTAGAAAGTATGGGCTCTTGAAAAAAAATCGTGTAGTAAGATTTGAAGTATCTTAAATTGAGTATATAAACATACTCAAACTAATAAATTAGTATGTACACATACGTAATATAGTTGATTGAGGATGGGAGTAACTACTCCTAGGAGTAGAAAAAAATGCACACAATGGACTAATTGTAAGATGTCAATTAGAAGGATGCAGTAGCGCATGCAAGAGAGAAAAAGGAAGCACAGTACAGCACACGCAACCACTAAAATAGAACTGTTGAAATACCGTTCTATCAGTGTACATACATAGAGCACGAGATGAAAATAAAGATGGATGGAGCAGAGAATACAAAAATATTTGATTCCTATCTTGGCTTCTATTTATAGATGAATGAGGCAGTTGTGAGTGCCCATCTAAAAGCAGCTCCGGTCCAAAATCGAACTGTGGGGAGAGATAAAAGAGAATAAAAGTCGATTTCACATTTGAGCAACCAAATTAAAATAAAAGACTTTTTGGTTAGGTTAGGATGAGGTGTAACACATTGATGGAAGGAGAGTTAAGAGCAACTCCAATAGATTGAGTAAATGTATTCGTGAAGTCATTTATAGCTATTGTGCTTAAAAAAGCATTTCAACAGCTTGTCTATATTGTTTTTTATTTTTCCTAGTTGGCTATCCCACCATTTTCGCTGGCCATATTTCCCTAACGAGTCCTACTTGCTATCTGTGTTTTCCAATTTAACTATGCTGTTGTAAAACTCTCGATTTTAGATGGGCTTTCTATTTTACATAATGGTCAAATCTCATAATTTAGCATCTAATTTTACCAGGTCTCTTGAAGTTGCTCTAAAGGTGGAGAGAGAAACTCAAAAGATGATGTTGGGATCGAACGGTTCTCGAACGCTTATTATAGGCCCATCGATTAGGCCGGTATTGGAGGTGCCCTAAAAACTTCTCTCTTTTATTTATTTATATTGAAAAAAGTCTATATAGCTCCTGATGTTTAGCAATGCTAAAAACTTCTCCCTTTTATTTATTTATATTGAAAAAAAGTCTATATAACCCGTGACATTTAGCAATGTGTCTACTTTACCTTTGATCTACAAAATTAGGTATTCTACCTCATCCCCCATCAGATTATATCATTATATGAAAGGGAATACATGGAGAGAGTTCACACGGGTGATGAAAACCAGGAGACATGGTTGCGATGCATGCTGCTGACCTGCAGTAGAGATTTTTTTTATTTTTAACATTTTTTTAAAAATATTTTTAAAACTGACACTGTTTATTTTTTTTAAAACTAACACTTTTGGACGAGACTATTTGCACGGTGCGGCGAAACAACTCTGCCGTGCCATGTATGGCGACGCGGCAGGGGTGCGTATGTGGCAACGGCCCGCCCACTAGTCGCTGACGTGGCAGGCCTTGCCGCGCCACCGATCAGGGCACGCCTGTGACGCGCCACCGATCAGCGGCACGCCTGTGACGCGCCACTGATCAGGGCGCGGCTGTGACGCGCCACCCGTCAGTACGCGGCAGAGCCAAATAGAGGTCCGCGGCCCAGTCCCTTTCCTCCCTCTCTGTTTCACTCCGCGCCGCACAGCAGCTGCCTCCGTGCCGCCCAGCCCCCGCCGCCACGCCTCCTAGCCTGCACCACCGCGCCATTGCCTCCCGGCTCCCCCACAGCCGGCCCCCTCCCTACCTTCCCCGAAGCTCCTCCTCGGCCTTGTCAAGGTAATGAAGCTCCTCCTCGGCCTCCACGATGGATCGAAGGATTTGAATGCGTAGTTAGGGTATGGAGAAAAATATGAGTTCGTTAGAACGTTGGATTGAAGGATTAGGATTAGGATTGCCAATGTTAAGGTTAATTGGTTAGTTAGAATTATGATTAACATGTATTCTAAGGTCAATTTTTATATGAGTTTTGCTTGTTTGAGTTTGCATCTCAACTTTTATATGTGAATAAATACATAAACACACTGTTGATATACCAAATTTTATTTTTTACTGACTAAAGTATAGTTTTCATGTTTACATCTAAGATAGAGTTTGCACCAAAGTGTAGGTTATATTTTATTTGTTGTAATGCAAATGGTTCTCATTGACATTAATTTGTGATGTTTTGATTTTTGTTTGTTAAATTACACCTGTTTTGTTAGATGCAAGAAATGTATCGGGAGGAGTTTTAGCGAAAACGGGGTCGTCCTCGAGAATTATACCCCGACACGTCTAGCAAAGATGCCCCTGTCCTTCTTGACCTCCCTGTCCCTAACTATGACTGTGGTTTCATGGGCGAGTGTTTCAATCGAGACATCCAGACACAGCGGCGCGTTGCTTCTACACATACAGTCGTTTTAATGTAAGTAATTGTTCCCACTATCTTTTTTTTCTTCATTTGTGTAAGTAGGCTACTAATATTTTGTTGGAATCTTGTTGTGTAGGCCCATGAGAGGTGCCTTTTCTTTCAGTGGATCAACGGTGCAGACAAGTTTCACCCTAGGTGCCTCCTTTTCGACGATTGGTGTAGAGGGAGAGATCCACATGAGCACTTCCAGCGATGGGTTACACCCCCCCTAACCCCCCTCCAATGACGGCTAAGGAAAAGCACCTAGTCGTAGTTAGACGACTCAAGGAACCTCCTCTGTGCGAATGCGAAGATCGAGCTGTGATAAACCCTGAGAATACATTGGAGTTTGTGTGTCCCAACAAACACGAAGTAAGTGAAAAGTGTATCTGTTTAAATGTTTATCTCTATATGTGTGTGTGTACTAATGTATTCTCTTGTAGCGTTATGGATTTGTGAAGTGTCGTTTCAATGAGTGGCTCTACGGTCCTAAGAATCAATGGCTGGAGCCACCAAAGGCAAAGGAAAAGAAGAAAGAAAGGTTAATTCACTAGTAGAGAAACGACATTTGATCCCGCCTCGAAATTTGGCTTTAGTCCCGGTATTTCTTGCGCCCGGGAGTAGAGAGACCTTTAGTCCCGGTTTGTAGCTTCAACCGGGACTAAAGGTCCCTGCCCAATGGCTACTGCGGCAGGCTTTTGCTGTAGGGGACCTTTAGTCCCGGTTGGAGCTACCAACCGGGACTAAAGGTTAACTTTTACTCCAGGTTGGTGCCTCCAACCGGGAGTAAAAGTCTACTCCCGGCTGGAGGCACCGTCCGGGACTAGAAAGGGACCTTTAGTCCCGGTTTTTGTCTCCAACAGGGACTAAAGGTACCCTCCTATATAGCCCTTGTTCCTCCCTGAGCCCGAGCCACTTCGAGCTCAGTGTTCTCGGCCTCTCTTCTTCCTCATCACCGGTGTATCACAAGATTTCTTCCATTCCTCCATTGGTTCTAAAGGTTACCAACTTTATACTCTCGTATTTCATCTATAGCTTATTTCATTTTATGGACTAGATATATGTGGTTTTTTATGGTAGATTTTTTTTTTATTTGTAAGCCATTTAAGCTCAAAATCACTTTAAAGTTTGCGTATTTGGATGAAGGAAGGTTAAAGTAGTTATTCAAAACTAGTATTGAGCTTTCATTTCTAGCATGCATAGCACACTTCATGCTTTAGAGATATAGAGAATTTTAGAGTTTTTTTTAATTTTATTTGTTTATAAAATGAGAAATTTATATTATATTAAAAATGAGTATAGAGAGTAGATGGCAACTGCTTCTAGGTCCTCGGCCTCTCATCGGGTTACAAAGCGACTGAGGCCGGACCTTCCTCTCATTGCATGCGGCAAGTGTGAGGATAATATTGTGATGGAGTACCGGGTGAGGAAGGAGTGTCCCAACAAGGGCCGTATCTTCTACAAGTGTCCGGATCGCAATGTGAGTTATTTTGTCGTATTTGATGATTATGGTTAATTTATACTTATTTTCATGATGATTGTAATTAAAGTTCTAATTTTTTATTTTA